TAAAACTTTTTTTTTTTTAAAGGTCTTTGCAAAAACAGAAGCACAGAAGGGAGCGTATATAGAATTAACACTGCAAGCTTATCAAGAAGCATTCGTTAGCCATTCTGCAGCTTCCTGAAATATTTTTTAAAACACATTTCATTTTACTAAATACTACCTTTCTCTTTGTTGACATTGAGCTGAATGTTTAAAAATGTTGAGATTAAAAGATACTGATTTGTTATTCTCTCTAAATTTCTTTGCTTTTGAAATTCTAGATAGTGCCTCTGACAGAAATACAAAGAAAAACTTGTTACCCTACTCACTTCCTTAGGCTGCAAGGGGAAATATATTTGAGCACCTCGTTATGAATTTCTCTAATCACATTAGATAAGTGCACAGTTAAAAAAGAGAAAGTACTGTGCTTTTCTGTATTACCAAATAGGCCAACATGTAATTTAGACAGAGCCCAGCTTAATGAGGTCAGAGGAATAATAATGAAGTCAGGTTTCAGACTCTGATTCTAGAAATGGCTAGCTACCAGACAAAATTAGGGCAAGGCATAAGAACCCATGCCACCCAAGCTACACACACTGCCAGGAATGATGCAATGAGATCAAGAAAAAGGGCTCAGAGAATTACAGTATGGATATTCAGTTCTATGGAAAATGTGATTGATCATATTTGAAAATACAGATTTAGTTATGCAAAGATAAGAGAATGTGGGGCTGAATTCTAGGTGAGGTATAGTTTTGGCTCGGCCTTCTAAAACTAGAAGCCTATTTTCATTATTCAGTAAGGAAACTGAAGTATCTTCATTAATTCAAAAGATTTTATGAGATATGGCCTAATAACAGTATGAAAGAAATTAAAGCCCAAGTCTGTTTTAGTTAACAAGGATAACACAGTAATTTAAATGCTGCACATAAACTCCTCTTAAGACTCAGAGGCAGCTGTGCTCCCAGTGGTCCACAGCATTTACATATAAAAGTCTCCATTCTATGAGAACATAGTCCAAAGTGCTGTGGTCCAGATGATCAATACCTGTACATAGTAATGATCTGTTTAGTCAGGTAAATGGAAAACATTACGTTCAATCATCCAAAATATCTTCATCCAGATTGATATCTGTTGTGTCAATATCTTCTAATTCCAAATTATCCAAATCTACTTCTAGTTCAAGTAAACTCTGCAAACAAAAGGAAGAGGGTGATGAAGTTGTACAGTACTGTGTCCAAGAAAAGTCTGTGGTTAATAATCTGACGTGAGAACTAAAATTTTCTTAATAGTCAAAAAGAGCATCTTTCCATTTCAAAGCCCCTGTTCTGAAACTTAAACAGATTACATCACTCAAACCACAGAGGCCTGTATATCCTGCCCACATTTATGGGGTGGACGGAAGGACGGAGAGGTTTGGGTATGATGTCTGACCTACCTTTTCTTTGTTGTCTGTGTGGGAGGCCACGACAACTGGAGGAGAATCAGGTTTCTCATCAAGTTCCTGAAAGCCCAAGTGGAGATACACATGAAGACAAAGGGATTTTCTAAGGAATTTATAGTTTTCCCCCGAGGGAAGGATGATCAGGATTTGTAAGTGGGAGATGGTATTTAAAATCAACAGTCTCAACTAAATCATCACCAATAGTAATTGAACTGACCTGCTGAGCTGCAGATCTTGAGGGCTGAAAGCCTTTTGCTTCTTCCATAACATTTCTCTCTTCATTTGGCTACCAGAGAATAAAACAATGATGAAATGAAATATCCTGAAATCATAATTCATCTCTGAATTTGGCCTAAATCCCAGATATTAGCTCTTAATCCAACAATAATTTATTTAGTGCAGTTCAAAATCAGAAGTTGTGAATGCTATTCCATCCTGTAGTCGCACTAAATTAAGCTTGGCACCCTGGCCACTCACCGTGACAAGTGGATATTGTTTGGCTGGCCATAGATCAGCATGTGTTTCCTTCACCCATTCTTCAACAACAATGGCTTCTTTTAATCCAGGGAAAAGGTTTTCATACTCTGTTGGGTCAGCAAGGGATTCCGCTGCCTTCTGATTGACTTTTGAGAGATTCTCTCTCCAGAGTTTCACTACCCTATTATAGACATCACAGAACCAAAGAGAATAAACAAGTGTGTTCTTTTTATTCGAAACATTTCTTCCTAAAACTAAATTCTGTACCTTGAAACCTGACTGGGTAAGTAAGTTCGGGCCAGGAAGGCAGCTTCTGGCAGTCTCCCAGTTCTAATCAAGACCTCCAGGCAAGCATCAAGCCTAAAGATAAAAAAAGAAAAGAGGTACTGTTATCAAGAATAAATACTATAATAAAGGTACTTAACACCTTAAAGAAATGTGGATTTAGTGTTGTAAAGTCAAACTTCTCCCCTGCCCCCCTCCATGTACATCTCATTTCTGTCATTGAGCCATTTACTTTTCTTAATGGTATGTTACATAATCAATGGACTCCAAGGGTGTGAGAAATAAGACAGCTTTTGTGACCACTTTCTAGAATCTGCTTAGGTTTAACAACCCCTAGGAAGAACCTAAAGGGACTTTTCAAGAGGAGTTTATGCAGGTTAGATTAGCAATTAAGGGCTTCAGGATGTATGTGAGCAGAAATTCAGTTTCACAAGTATGAATGTCTAGGGCAGTTGTCACCAGCATGGGCTGGGACAATCCAGTGGTGCCCTGTAGGAGAATAGAAAGTGTCTTTTTTTTGTCTTCAATTCTTAATTTCAGTTTTTTTCTTTGCAAATTTTATAAAGTAGGTAATGTTTCAGATTCAGAATTTTTTGGATTTTAGAGAAGTAATACAGGGCATATACTATATATTACTTAACATCCTCAGCATCACACAAAAGCCACAAACATTTCTGCAATAACACATGAATATTAAATATGATTAAAATATACCAAGTGGCATTAAAGCAACTAAAGTAGTAAGTCAGAGTGCAGGTCAGGTTTTGCCATCAAATAAAAAACTTCAGAATATTTTTAGATTTTTGAATTATGGATAAGGAATAGTGGACCTATTCTTACTGGTATATATATTTATAAATATATTCAATATGTATACTGGAGTATACATTTGAAGTTTAATAAAGTGTGGGATTAAATCAGTATGTAGGGCAAGGTTAGTGATTAATTCTGTGTTTTATTTCACAATACGGCCAAGTATTTATAAATATATTCAATATGTATACTGGAGTATACATTTGAAGTTTAATAAAGTGTGGGATTAAAAAAATCAGTATGTAGGGCAAGGTTAGTGATTAATTCTGTGTTTTATTTCACAATACGGCCAAGTAATGGCCAAATGCACTAACTCTGCTAGACTTAAAAATACGTGGTATTTTTACACTTTACAGTTAGGGTTGAATCTAAAAGTAACTGGCATGCTCATCCCCCTTTATTCTTGCCATAAATAGATCAAAATTATCCAATTTGGGTAAAATCACCTGCCATTCAGGTACCAACTGGAGTAGCACAATAGCCTCCTGCTGTCATAAAATAAAATGCCTCAGCCATTAACTGGCAGAACTGTTGAGAAAGGGGTTTAACTTTTCTCCCACTTGACCCTCCCTGAACAGCTCATTTAGCTCTAACATTTAAACCAAATGTGCTAAGAGCATCCCTTACTGAAGGTGACTGCTACCAAGGTAGCACTGTCCTCCCTTGACTGCCCCCACTATTCAACACCATTCACCATTCATCAGTTCATTCTTCACATTTCTCTCCAAAGACCATCCTCAAAGTCAACGTAGAAATAACTGTTTTTAATGACTATGCTCACCAAGGTCTTGTAGACCTTAGATTAATACTTACTTGCCCTGTAGAAAGTAGCTCACGAATGCCACATTATTTTTGCCATCTCTCTCTGCACCCTCTGCTAGCTTGTTCACCATACTAGCATTTCCAGAGGCAGTGGCTAAAAGCAGCAGACCCCCATAATCCTGTGCATGGTGTAGGCACTCCTGTGCTAGGCCAAACTGACATTTACTAATTGCAAGCTCAGCAAGTTGCTTCCACTTCTGTTCTGACTATAAGAAAAAGTTTCCAAGTTAGAATATCTTTGGAAATAGCCATTTAAATTTCCAGCATCAACATTATTCTGTTAACTTGAACATTACTATCCTGACAATGGAAGATATTTACATATATACTGAGCTGTGCTTGTTAACTTGCCTCTGTCACTTAAAATAAGCATGGCATTACAAAATGTATAATGAAGAAATGGAAATTATTCACTTACACAAAATTAATTCAAATACACAAATCAATTTTAATGATGCATGAATAATCATCAACCCGTTATATTTTTATTTTGTAATTATAAAGTGAAACTAAAAGTAAAACCATCTAACTGAAGTTTTAAGGTAATTAGAATGCAATTATTTTAATGAGTGATTTAATACCTCTTTTTTTGAAAGAGAAAATTGTTATGTCCTTAAATACTGAACAATAATAGATACTATCTGTCATTTATAGCTCATCAGAAATCAAATGAAATGCTGCATGTTTGGGTGATTTTAACATAGCTAAAATTTATTTTACATCTGAAATTAATTTACAAGTAAATGCTAGACTTAAACCACAACTAGGAACCCTTTATATACAAAGATCCATAAATATGTCATTAAACTGTCTTTCAAAATGTCAGAACCCTTCTTTAAAACCAGTATCTTTCTCGCTAGTTTGGGATACAGCCAAATTCCTATGTCTGTACTCTTTCAGAGTTCCCAGACTTATTTACCTACTATCTTATACCTTCCCTTTTCTATTGCAAGATAGATCTCACATAAGATATGAAAATATTTCTTATAAAAAACAAATTAGAGTATAAGAATATCTTCAATATAATCCATTTAATTTACACAAAGATTAACATAATTCATCTTTAATTTTTATTTTTTTTGGCAGCTGACCAGTATGGGGATCCTTTAACGATTTTTTTTTTTCTTATAAAAAACAAATTAGAGTATAAGAATATCTTCAATATAATCCATTTAATTTACACAAAGATTAACATAATTCATCTTTAATTTTTAATTTTTATTTTTTTTGGCAGCTGACCAGTATGGGGATCCTTTAACGATTTTTTTTTTTTTTGCGGCTGGCCTGTAAGGGGATCCAAACCCTTGACCTTGGTGTTAACAACACTACACTCTAACAATCTGAGCTAACTGGCCAGCCCCTTTGATCCCTTTGATCTTTTTAAAAAAAGATCAAAGAGAGACAATCTCACCAAAATGAATCACTAATTTGCATTTCAGAAAACTTCAATACCAAAACCTTTTACCAAAAACAAATAAGTACCTACTGGCCTCTCCATCATGAATTCGTACATACCTCTGCTTCCACTGCTAATTGGTATGCAATTTTTAACTCTCCAAGCTGAAGAGCAAGCTCAAAACGATGCTCAGGATCTGTGGATACTGTAAGAGCTTGCTGCTTGAAGCCCTAAACAGATTAAAAAAAAAGTGTGTGTGTGTGATTTATGCATAGAAAAATGTATGTATGTTGTATGTGTTAATAGTGCACACACACACAGAGCAAACTAAAAATACCTTGCTAACATAGAAACACCACTACTTAATAGATAACAAAATACTCTTTAATGAGAAGACAGAGAAAAATTAAACATTCATTAAATTAACTGGTAAGAACAAACCTGCAGACACAATATTCAGTTACATAATGCCTGCTGCCCTTTAAGATAATGGAAGCTGGCCAATACTATTTTTTTATTTGTTTAACTCAAGTAAAACACCAACTAATAAAATTAGAAATATAAACGTTAACAGAAATGTCAAAAATAAAGGATTTTGGAAAGTTGATTGAGCAAAAGTCATTTCAAAAGAAGAAAAACAGGCACATGATTTAAACCTAGCTGTTGGTAAAGCTTGGCCTATAGAGATCATCTAGTCCAGTTCCTCATTTTACAGATAAAGATTACTGGCAGTAAACGGACAAAGAAAAATAAGTCATATATAAAACCTTCTGATTTTCTATCATCTGTAGGTCATTTAGCAAACATTTTGTTCAGGTCCAGACACTGATCAGGTCATTATCTATGCCTTTATTGTTGGTCTCATGTCTGTCCAGTTTATTCATCAGCAGGTATCCCAAAGGACAGGAAAGTCTAAAATTTCTTTCTCATACTCCATTAAGCCATCAGGAATGGACTTTGAAACCAACAGCTGTAATTACTAAATCAGTTTCTCCCCCAAGACAGACAGTACTGATAGGGTCTGCCCTATGGGCAAGCTCTTCAGCTCTAGGGATGTGGTGTATTAGACAAAAAGCTCAGGGCTAGTTTACCTCTTCATAAGACTGGGGAGAATGCTCAGTTATGGTATGGTCAGGATGGAGAAGCTGGACAGCTTTTGGAGTTCTGTCCGGTTAGATCTTCAAGATGGCTTTATCATTGTTTGAAATGTTTTAACTTCTCAGATTATACAAAATGCCACTCTCTCCATTTATCCATGAGTACAATACAAATGAAACATTCTAAATAATCAGCGTTAACTCCTTTTCTTCACTACCACTGATGTAGACAACATAAAACCCAAGAGTGGAGGATGAAAGATCTTTGAACTAGACNACTATCTTATACCTTCCCTTTTCTATTGCAAGATAGATCTCACATAAGATATGAAAATATTTCTTATAAAAAACAAATTAGAGTATAAGAATATCTTCAATATAATCCATTTAATTTACACAAAGATTAACATAATTCATCTTTAATTTTTAATTTTTATTTTTTTTGGCAGCTGACCAGTATGGGGATCCTTTAACGATTTTTTTTTTTTGCGGCTGGCCTGTAAGGGGATCCAAACCCTTGACCTTGGTGTTAACAACACTACACTCTAATAATCTGAGCTAACTGGCCAGCCCCTTTGATCCCTTTGATCTTTTTAAAAAAAGATCAAAGAGAGACAATCTCACCAAAATGAATCACTAATTTGCATTTCAGAAAACTTCAATACCAAAACCTTTTACCAAAAACAAATAAGTACCTACTGGCCTCTCCATCATGAATTCGTACATACCTCTGCTTCCACTGCTAATTGGTATGCAATTTTTAACTCTCCAAGCTGAAGAGCAAGCTCAAAACGATGCTCAGGATCTGTGGATACTGTAAGAGCTTGCTGCTTGAAGCCCTAAACAGATTAAAAAAAAAGTGTGTGTGTGTGATTTATGCATAGAAAAATGTATGTATGTTGTATGTGTTAATAGTGCACACACACACAGAGCAAACTAAAAATACCTTGCTAACATAGAAACACCACTACTTAATAGATAACAAAATACTCTTTAATGAGAAGACAGAGAAAAATTAAACATTCATTAAATTAACTGGTAAGAACAAACCTGCAGACACAATATTCAGTTACATAATGCCTGCTGCCCTTTAAGATAATGGAAGCTGGCCAATACTATTTTTTTATTTGTTTAACTCAAGTAAAACACCAACTAATAAAATTAGAAATATAAACGTTAACAGAAATGTCAAAAATAAAGGATTTTGGAAAGTTGATTGAGCAAAAGTCATTTCAAAAGAAGAAAAACAGGCACATGATTTAAACCTAGCTGTTGGTAAAGCTTGGCCTATAGAGATCATCTAGTCCAGTTCCTCATTTTACAGATAAAGATTACTGGCAGTAAACGGACAAAGAAAAATAAGTCATATATAAAACCTTCTGATTTTCTATCATCTGTAGGTCATTTAGCAAACATTTTGTTCAGGTCCAGACACTGATCAGGTCATTATCTATGCCTTTATTGTTGGTCTCATGTCTGTCCAGTTTATTCATCAGCAGGTATCCCAAAGGACAGGAAAGTCTAAAATTTCTTTCTCATACTCCATTAAGCCATCAGGAATGGACTTTGAAACCAACAGCTGTAATTACTAAATCAGTTTCTCCCCCAAGACAGACAGTACTGATAGGGTCTGCCCTATGGGCAAGCTCTTCAGCTCTAGGGATGTGGTGTATTAGACAAAAAGCTCAGGGCTAGTTTACCTCTTCATAAGACTGGGGAGAATGCTCAGTTATGGTATGGTCAGGATGGAGAAGCTGGACAGCTTTTGGAGTTCTGTCCGGTTAGATCTTCAAGATGGCTTTATCATTGTTTGAAATGTTTTAACTTCTCAGATTATACAAAATGCCACTCCCTCCATTTATCCATGAGTACAATACAAATGAAACATTCTAAATAATCAGCGTTAACTCCTTTTCTTCATTACCACTGATGTAGACAACATAAAACCCAAGAGTGGAGGATGAAAGATCTTTGAACTAGACAAATACAGGCAAGAGCAAAGCAGATGAAATGAGGTGGACTAAATATATACACTTGTGTTTTCCCCCAAAACCCCACTAAAATGAAACTAAAGGGATTTTATTTTTTAAGGCATAAACTCCCAAGGACACACAGAAATGGAGGGCAAACATTAGTAACAAAATTTTGGAAGCCCGAATCAATAAAAGCAACTTGAAGTAAGCATACCATGTATGAGGAAAAGAAAACTTCAAAAACAAAAAAATATCATTCATATCCTCAGAGAGATAAGACAAACGTTCATCTACAAACAAAAGTAAGATTTAAAAAGTCAGAGAATAACAAAATAAAGAAACTGGTGCAGGAGCTCCAACATTTGAGTAACACTGGAGAGAATACACAAAACAGAGGAAGGAAAACACCACAGAATGAATCATGAAAATCTCTTGGAAATGAAGGACATGAGTTTCTCATTCAAAGAGCTCATCTAATACCCAGCAGAAAGAAAGAAAATTGACCCCTACCAAGGCCCACCATCATCATAACATTTAAGTACAACAGGGACAAGATCCAAAAGGCTTCCATAGAGAAAAAGAAGGTCATGTACCAAGAATCAGGAATAAAAATAGCTTCAGACTTCAAAAATAACCAGAAGCTAGAAGGCAATGGAACAATACCTTCGAAATTCTGAGAGAAAATTACTTCCAGTCTGGAATTCTACACCAGATTAAAACAGTCAAATGTGTTTTAGGGTAGAACAATGGCATTTTCAGATATTCAATCAAAAAATAATTTACCTCCCATTAATAATCCTTTTCTCAGGAAACTACTGAAGGACATGCATGCTCCACCAAAATGAGAGAGTAAAGCAGTAAAGAATATAGGGAACATAAGAAACAATGGATCCAACTCGAGAGAGAGGCGAAGGGAAGTCCCGACATGATGGTGAGGGAATATCCATGATGAGAGCAGAAAAAACAGTTCCGTCTAACGCCGGCTAAACCCACTGAAAGGAGACCTTAAGGAAAACTAGAGAACCAGTAGAGTGTAGGGAGAATTAAACTTAAGCACAGAGAAAATTAAGCAAAGGAAAAAAAAGGCAATTATGAACGCCAGGGAAAAGGACTGCAGGAAGGGAAAGTGATAATACACTATACATCTCATCTATGAACAGCATTTATTTACACAGCCGTAATAACATAAAAATCGAATACTGATCTAATAAAAATTGTGATATAACTATACTGAAAGGATAGGGGATAGGGAAGTGGCATGTATGTGGTAGATGCAGGGGAGTGAAAGAAAGCTGAATCCTCACCTTTTATAGAGTGGGAAGTCATAAGAAATGCCAAAAGCTGAGAAATGAAGAAATAGCTATATTGATATATCAGATATTATTTAGAGATGTGGAAATAAATACCAAAAGAGTTAGATAAAATAATTAAAAGTAATTCCCCTAGGGAGTAGGAAAGGGAGAGGGGAAAGAAGGGAGAGCTGCTTTTTTCTTAAGGCTTGCAGCAAGACTTACTTTATGCTTTCTGCATATGTAATTTTGACTAGAAAACTACATTAAAAAAAGGTGTGTCACTAATGGGAAATTTTATATTATGTGTATTTTACCACAATTACAAAAAAAAAAAGAAAAAAGGCAAATGGGACAGAGAGAAAAATACAGTGTGGAAATGCAAATATTAGGAGACTGGAAAAGAGGTGTACAGAAAGGAAAGACCGATAAATCTCCTCCAACATGTAAAAGAGGTACAAATACTAAGGGCACTGAGAAAGGAGAATGCAGAATATTAGGGAAGCATACCATATACTGTAACAAGTGCATATATAACAAGTGGAATTCACAGGAGAAATTACTTTCTTATAGGAAATCAGTGGTGATTAACAAAGTTTTTCAAATCCCTGCTAACATTCTTTCAAATTGTTAATCTTGAAAACAAACAAAAAGAAAAGAAAGGAAAGAATCTCTTACCTGCTTTTCCAAAAAGTGTGCAACTCTGGTCCTCTGTTCTTTTGGAATGGTAGGAAGGACCTTATCAGCCATGCTAAAGTCCCTCCGCATGACAGCTGTCTGGTATTCCAAGACTGAAACAAGCAGGGAGTAGCTAACAATGTTCAATTCTTTATCCCCCAGATAAAGCCTGTTGTCTTTAGGAATATAGCCTAGGAGATACATTGTCCTATAACAGAAACAGAAACTGAATCAGAAGTAAGTTCAAATCTGCAGCTACAAACACACACACACCCCATTCTGCCTCTTGCTCAAAATCTTTCCATTTGATCGATATAATTCTGGTTAATAATAGGTAACCTACAAAAACTCTAACACTGAAAAATCAGCCTATCACTGCTATAAGCCAGTAACATGTTTTATTTAAAACGCACACTTCTAAATTTAGGATGCTTAAGACAAAAGCAAAACGATACTCAGCTACCTGTCCAAGTGGGCAATGGTGACTATTTCTCCTCCGACATAATAATTTAATCTGTTCACAGAACTTGTGTAAATGAAGCAATCGCCTACCCACAGCCCTGTTTTCACAATTTCCTGAATTTCACCAAGAACCTGCAGAAAGAAAATAAAGACTATTATTACCTTTTCCAACATTAGAAATCTGTCAATAACAAAAGGTGAATATAATTGAGGGTGATAAGGTAGAATAAGGAATACAAAGTAAAATCCTATTTCAAGAAAGAAAATCTTTCCTCGGAATTTCTTTGTTCTTTCTTCATTTAAGAACAGATTTCTAGATGAGTATTTGTAATGTGAAATCTCACTGTTGCATCAAAACTGTGATCTAAAAGAGAATTGATCTAAACCTCCTAATACAAACGAAACTGGATTATTAAGTATTTCTTAAATCTTCTAGGATATCCTCACAAGGGATGATTTATCTTTACGTTTTGGGAGCTCATTTAAATCACTCTGGCAAAATAGTCTTAGGATCAAAACAACTATAAGTTTCCTACTGAAAGATATCAAAGTAAATCTAAAGTTCCTAAAACCTAAGCACAAATTTCTTTTAAACATATTTACTTTCAGATTCTGACCTTAAAGCCAAGATTTTTTCATATTTCACCAGAACCCCCCTAAATGCTTTTTAGCTTCCCCAAAACTAATTTATAATAAAATGTTAAAATCAGTGAAGTCTGTTATAAGAATATAAATCATTTAAAAACAAAGCTAAAGGTGCACTGATGCAATTACCTCAAAGGCATCTTCAATGCCATCCTCAGTAACTCCCTCATGTGTTTCCTGTGCTGCCAAGACTTTTTCTGACAGATACTTAAGGATAAAAAATGATTCCTCAGTGGCAATACAGACTAGCTCTCCAGAATCAGACCAGAAAATCTGCAATACGACAAATAAAAACACAGACAAATGATTTGAATTTCTGAGTGGATATGACAAACTGCGTATACTTTGTTTCCTTATAAGGATTATCTTCCTATATTAAGATAGTAAGTATGCACTTAATAGTTTTACATAGCGAACTTATATGTATATTTGGGAGAGTAGATAGGGCAGGGCTGTTCTATTTAGCCTAGCAATGGAAAGGCAAAAGGGAGACAGGAAGGAGAACTGTCAGTAAACATTAATTTAGAGGAGCAGCAACCTATTCTCTATTGCTCTAGAACAGCATTCTCACCTTTTATTTGCATTATCACCTACCCCCCACTTGGAGATGTTTTAGACTTTTTTTCTTAATCACCTCCCTTGATAAAATTTTAATACCACAGGTATACTGTCTGTCTGTCTGTCTGTCTGTCTGTCTATCTATCTATCTAATGCATATATATATACACACACATATACATTACATGCATATGTATGTCTATGCTTTATACATAGAAAGGTTTCTTCACTCCCTCCCCTCCCCAAACAATTTTTGCCCCTATGGGGGTACTATAAACCACACTGAGAATGCATGCTCTAGAAGACAGAACCAGGACCCTAGGGAGGGTGGTTTTGTCTTCATAGATGATTTCCTGAAAGTGAAAGCTGTCAAAGCAGCAGGCAGTTCTAAAGATAGAACACTTAGTCACTGGAGATGGTCACCTAAAGTTCAAGGAGTCATCATCAGGTAAAGCAAGAAAAAGCATTTTGGACTGTGTGGGAGCTTCTCAAACCTTTCTAAGTCAAGAATTCCCTGATTTCTTGTTTTCAAAACATGCTTTTTTACTCTGTCAAAAGCTATTTAAAACACGAATAGCACTTGGAATTTGCATAACTTTTTATATTTTTCAAAATATCCAATGTATGCTGCCTTGTTCAAATATCACAATTCTGATTTTCTAAGTAATCTTAATAAATGGCACTGTGTCCAACATAATCAGAACTCATCTCAAAGAAGAACATTCCCAAAACAACAAAGGAATGAAAACTCACATATTTGGGCTGAATTTCAATTCTGCGTATGAGTTCTGTATTGTCCCAGTCATAGAAGGCTAAGCCATTTACAGATCTGACTCCCAATAAGAAGCCTCCATAGATACCTTAAAAGAACATAAAAAGATTTTTGTTTAGATGTTTTTGAGCCATTACAAAGCTTCTAAAACTGTGTTATATATAAATAGTACTCACTTTCAGCTCCAAAATCTGGTTTAAATGATTTTTTTTCCTTAAAGTTCTTAAATATCTTTACAACACTGTTGCTCTCTCTTATTGCATATCTGGAGGAAAAAAGAAAAGCAAAAACAGCATACTATATGCTAAACCATAATTAGACCAAATGTTAGAAATACTTTCAAATATTAGGACACCACGTAATAGGAAGAGACTGCCAAGGACTTGACTTGAGGGCCTACTTTGCCTTAAGCCCATAAGCACCAGGTCCTACCATGGCTCCATCAAGAAAATGGGTGCTGAGTCCCCAGTTTAATGGGATTATTAGATCAGCTTACGTAAGCCAGTTCAATATTGAATAGAGAAAGGGCAAAGAGCTCACACTACATAGCTGCCTCTGACCCTAATCTTCCAATGGGCACCTCTGGTGAGAATTATTTTTTAACATGAAGAACAGCCCACATAGAGCTTTGAGAATCTCTTATAAAGTGGCACATGACACTCATTTGCAACCATGGCAAGCTGGATATCACACAGCCAAAACTTACTCTGAAGAATCGTGCGCCCATGCAAACTCCTGGGCAGATCCAAAACTCTTGTTTCTCAATGCCATTGCTGTGTAGANATTAGATCAGCTTACGTAAGCCAGTTCAATATTGAATAGAGAAAGGGCAAAGAGCTCACACTACATAGCTGCCTCTGACCCTAATCTTCCAATGGGCACCTCTGGTGAGAATTATTTTTTAACATGAAGAACAGCCCACATAGAGCTTTGAGAATCTCTTATAAAGTGGCACATGACACTCATTTGCAACCATGGCAAGCTGGATATCACACAGCCAAAACTTACTCTGAAGAATCGTGCAGCTTAATGACCAACTTTTGTATCTACAGTCTTTAAATGTTTTATAAAGCAACATAAATATAATAATAGAAAATTTATAACAACCTAAAACTAAGAAATGTGATTTTAAGTATGAAATAATAACAAGATTTCCTTAGTAGAGTACTATGTGCCAGATGCTTTCTACAAGTGATTTTTCTCACCCTCTCTCTATAATCCTATAAAGTGGATATGTGTGCTCCCATTTCATAATTTGCCCAAACCACATTCATGAAATTCACTAAATTTAAACCCAGCTTTGTTTGACTCCGAAGTGCATGCTTTTTAGATTTTCTCTACAAAATTTGGGTGTCCTCTTATTTAAGTGATAGAATCAAAATACATTAGAGTGATGATGATAATAATGTCCTTTTACTCTTTCACACCTTAAGTCTAGTACTCTAATAAAAATATCAAAATCCTTAGAAACCTCCAGTTACAATGCAGGGACACTACTTGGTTTAAGTATATTTTATTGCTGAAAATGTTATTACAATGGCCATCTCTTATAAACAAAAGAGATTTGGGACAGGAAGGTGAGAATGGCTAGAAACGCCTAGGAGGAGGATTCCAACTATTCAACTGTATTTGTTGAGCACCAAGACGTCTAGCACTTTGATTATGACATTTACACCACAGGGAGGCACTGTTACTGCAAGACTATCTTCATTTTAAAGCTGATCATTCAAATGAGTAAAAATATCTTACTCCAGTTTTTAATGACTGTTAAATTTATCAAAGTAAACAGAATATTTTAACATTTAAATAATGAGTAAAAGAGAATGTTGTGTAGTCAAATAAAGCTTTCCCAACAGACATAAAACAACACTTTTTAGAATACTGTCATGGCTCTTACCAAAAGATTGTCAAAGGTAATGCAAACTAACATCAAAGAATGTTTTATGATACTGGGGGAAATATATACAATGTGTTCTTAACCTTCATAAGATAATTATATTACAAATAATCATGGATACCATTTATTGAACTAGGTGGAATACTTGGTCGTTTTTTAATACTCAGGAGAGTATTATAAGATGCCCAGATCTACTGTAAAATAATTTTTAAAGCTCCACAGGTTTAAACTCATTGTGCTAGAAACTCCTCTCTCACAAGATGCTTTATAAATCTTAAGAGAGAAACAGACAGTTCAAATTACGAATGAGAAGAAGAATTATTACCAATCCCAAAACTTTTTTCAAAAGACACATACCTCAGAGTTGATTTTCTTAAGAGCAATGAGTCAGCAAGTATTTAGAGTACCTGCAAAGTCTCAGGATAAGACATGATCCTTGCCCTCAAAGGAGCATGCAGGAACACAAACCCAACACACGTGAAATAAAAGTAAATACAATACTATTTCACAGTTCAAAATGGTGTGGTACAGAACAAGGCCAGGAGGGCAAACACGTTCCACTTTGCATGCCAACTCGATCAACTGGCACAGGTGCCTCAATCTGTGTTGAGGATTGTGAAGCCAAGGCAAAAGCTCAGTGGGGGATGATGAGAGATGCCTACCACAGGGAAAAAGCAGAATATGCCTCAACTGGCACAGGTGCCTCAATCTGTGTTGAGGATTGTGAAGCCAAGGCAAAAGCTCAGTGAGGGATGATGAGAGATGCCTACCACAGGGAAAAAGCAGAATATGCCATGGACACACAAACCCTGCTCTAACATACACAGAAGGTCAGAGAGAGATTTTGGTGGTGGCTTACCGCCCATTAGGATTGTGCTGAATAGTCTGAGGGTATATTTCACAACTGCCCATATCCTTTACTGCCAATGGCAATCTTTCTCCGTCTTTAATTTCAGCATCTCCCATTGCTTTTAGGTTGGCCTGCTGGATTTCTGAATGCTTGGCCCAAATTATCTTTCCATTGGAATCCATGGACATGGCAGGTTCCTCCCGACCAAGCTGGAAGAATGATAAATGGCTCATAGCAATGAAAAGGAAAACTAATAAAACCCCAACAAAACAGATACTTTTTTTTCATTTAACAGAGAGCTCTATTTCCTTTCTTCCATTTTAAATTGCCATTACTTAATCTCTAGTGCTTATTGAAAAAAGTGCTAGTTTAATAAAAGTGGTGACTTGGAAGGTGACAGTACTAAAATACAAGGAAAACTGCTCTGCCTGTGTTCATCTATTTAAAGAGATGATATAATTACCTTAACAATGATGCTCCCTTCATCATAGCCCAAAGCGACATTGTTGGACCCTCTTAGACTGGCCACGCACCACACCCTCTCCATTCCATAATTCAATGTGCTCTCAAGCCGATAGGTGCTTGAATGCCAAATACGCACTGTTCCTAAAAAGAGCAATGTGAATATTCCCTTTTGATATGAACATCCAACAATAAACTGTGTCAGATTAATGAGCCAAATGGAAGTCTTTCTACTCAAATAGAAAACACTTCCTGGCAGCTTAATGACCAACTTTTGTATCTACAGTCTTTAAATGTTTTATAAAGCAACATAAATATAATAATAGAAAATTTATAACAACCTAAAACTAAGAAATGTGATTTTAAGTATGAAATAATAACAAGATTTCCTTAGTAGAGTACTATGTGCCAGATGCTTTCTACAAGTGATTTTTCTCACCCTCTCTCTATAATCCTATAAAGTGGATATGTGTGCTCCCATTTCATAATTTGCCCAAACCACATTCATGAAATTCACTAAATTTAAACCCAGCTTTGTTTGACTCCGAAGTGCATGCTTTTTAGATTTTCTCTACAAAATTTGGGTGTCCTCTTATTTAAGTGATAGAATCAAAATACATTAGAGTGATGATGATAATAATGTCCTTTTACTCTTTCACACCTTAAGTCTAGTACTCTAATAAAAATATCAAAATCCTTAGAAACCTCCAGTTACAATGCAGGGACACTACTTGGTTTAAGTATATTCTGAGTAATTACAAGCACAGGAATAAACATACACTTCTAACTTACCATCTTCTGAACCTGTGATGATGATTGGCAACTCAGGATGAAAACTGGCACAAGACACATTTTGGGCATGTCCCTCCAGTGTCTGCACACATGTTTTGTTCTATAATCAAGACACAGAAAACATTTTTATTATTAAAAAACAGGTAACCCATCCTTAATTTTCTCAATGCACAGATACATTATAAATGATAGTGGTTATGACAATCTAAATAGTATACAATACAGAAATTTTTGAAACAGAATTATCTTGTTGTACAAATGAATATTTTCTCTAATTATTTCATAGAACAGGTAAATATAAATGTAACCATCATATTTAAAGAAGGGGGAAAAAAAACACTAAAAGACCTAGGTTTTCATCTGAATATTATTCCACCAAATTCTTATGGTATGGATTTTCCCCTTAATACTTAACTACCATCTGTGGACTAAATAACAGTGCTGCTTTAGCCTTTAATATTTTTATACCAGATTTAAATACAAAATGAAAAAGCTTCCAAGTAAAACTGGTCTTCTAGGCTTCATTTTATTAACTACTTATGAAGACTTGTGATGTAAAAAACCAAAAAAATAGAAATTTAAGAAAATCTTGGAGGCAAAAAACATGCTAATAAGAGTTCATAACTAGGTTTATAAGATATCTATGTGGCAAAATGGTTGTACCGTGGTTATATCATGACATTATTAATTGATCTAATAGTTCAAATATAAACGGAACTCTGCCAAAGAGGATACTGGAGGATATATAATTTAACATTAAAATGTTAAAGTTTCTAATTTTGGGGACCACAATTCAGGAGTAATACTGAGACCTTAAGTTATTATGCTATGAAAAGAGTTCAACAACACATCTTTTAACTGTCCTGTAAGAAATACTAAATATGTCTAATATAGGGCAAGCAAGGTTATACAATTCAGGAGTAATACTGAGACCTTAAGTTATTATGCTATGAAAAGAGTTCAACAACACACCTTTTAACTGTCCTGTAAGAAATACTAAATATGTCTAATATAGGGTAAGCAAGGTTATAAAAAATCTATACCTGATAATCCCATATTTTAACAAGACGGTCATCTGCACCTGAAATGAGGTATGGTTTGTCGCCACCACTGTAGTAATCAATACAATTCACACCTTTCTCGTGTCCCTCCAGAGTGAAGTTTGGTGATGAAGAGCCCAGCTGCCACACCTTCAGAGAGCAAATGCATCTGCCTGTCAATACAGGGCCTCGCTTTTCAGAAAGCAGATCTGCCACAGTTCTGACATATTACATAAAATACCAAAGCTAAGGAATATTCTTTTTTTTTTTTTCACCTGTTTGTTTTTGTTCTTACTCACTTTACTTGAATTTTCAGGGGGCAGATTACTATGATGTTCTCTAAAAATGCCAATTTCCATGTTTTATCCCTAGAGATTATAATTTAGTTGATCTACAGTAAAGCCCAGGAATCTAGATGTTTAATACTTTGAGAAACACTACTTTAAGGGTAGGAAATGATTTTATGAGATTTAATATAAACCTAATGAAAGTGTATTTGGTAAGATGTATTAAAAGGAGAACACGACTGCTTAATTAAAAAATGTAAAGTATAATAAAGTAGTCAAAAATTACCACAGTACAGGATTGAGCTTTACCGTTACAAACATTTACTGAATACCCATCATGTGGGAGGTCCTGTGGGGAGTATAAAGATGTGTAAACAAATGCTTACCACTTACTGTATACAACAAACTTTATTGGAGCAAAAGAGAGGACAAATCTTGTTCTTAAGATAAACTTAATTCAGTGAAGAAAGTTTAAAACTAATCTCAAAGTTCCCAACCTATGTCAAAAGCAAGGACAATCCAATGAAAGGAAAAAAAAGTAAGGTGAAAACCTTAAGATATTCAGACACATAACATTTTACATAAGGTAAAGGAAAACTAATAAAAATGTTGCAAAATAAAAAGATGTAAGCAAATGTGTAAGCAAAAGTTAATATGATTCTAAATCTATGCAAATAGAGATATTTAAAAAATTCTGATGGAAAAAGGAATATGATTGTACTCATTGCAACATGTATGAAGCATCTAGTACAGAAAAGGAAGGCACTGTGCTGTTGGCTATTGGGTATCTGTTGGGGGAAGGAAGAACACACACAGTTCCTGCCCCAAACATCCAACATTTCAGGAAATAAAGATTTCCAAAAACACATTAATTATGATTCCATGTAAGAAAGGCCGTAATAGAGGCAAAAAGCAATGGAAGGAATGAGATGAGCATAACTGGCTCTGCGTAAAGGTGAGGAGGATGTCTGATGAGAGCTTCTCAGAGTAAATTGTCTGATGAGAGCTTCTCAGAATAAACATTTGTGCTAAGTCTTGAAAGCTGAGTAGTTCTCCAGAGGAAAATAAAAAGGAAGAATAAAGAAGACTGCAGGCAGAAGGGACAGTTGAATAAAATAAGGTCTGAACATTCATGGGTTTGTAGAGGAAGGAAAATAGACCAGGGTTATAGGAGATGTCTCATAATATTAGCCCAGGCTAGTCTTAGAAATATTTGTATTCCACAGTAAGGCACTTGGACTTTATCTTTACATCAGGAGCTGACAAGATGAAATCTATGTTTTAAAAAGATAACTGGCAGCAGTGGAGAAATGGAGTAAGAAAGAGAGAATATAGGCAGAGGGAATTTAAATATAAAACAGATTAATAATGAGCAGAGGCCAACACAAATGCACTAAAAAGAAAGGAAAGTAGTAACCTAGAAAAGACATCAGCATTTTTTTTAATTCTGGATTTCCAAAGCCTAAAAAAATTTTACAACATACTGCTTCCACACAGTAAAACACTCTTTCATTAAGAACACTGAGTTGCTACATATTTTTCTAAACAGAACATGCCCTTTGGGATCAAAATGAGAAGTCCTATTTTGATTTCAAATTGAGTTTTTGAGAAACTTCCAAGTAAGGACTAACTCTCTAGCCAGCCAGTAGTAAAACACCT